TTAAGTGTTACTACATAAATCATGATTCACCATTGACATCTACTATAACATAGTTATAAATAGCCTAATCAGCTGCCTCAAAATAGCTTAGCTCAGGCAGAGGAGGATAATACAAATGTGAATATGGATTTAAGCACTCTAAACCTGTCAGCACTCCAGCTCAAGTAACTTAAACTGCATATTCCACTGATGAATAGTCATTAGATATTAAAAAGGTGCATTACTGTATTTCACTGTTACTCTAGTGATCTTAAAGAATTAAGACCACATTCATAAAGTCAAAATTTGTGTCCAAGGAGTAGCATTGAGTAGGGGAATATCTGGATCATTAAATAATTTCTACAGGTCAGAGAAAAAGCATTTTATCTCTGAATATTACTTTCATGGCATATTGGGTGTAACAGACGTTAGGAAGAGATTGACCTTTCTCTGAAACAATTCATAGAATCATTAGAATTTTCTTCAATGTTAGGGAATTATATATATTCCATTGTGCTGCTGTAAGTCTTAAGTATTGATCTTCCTTTGAAATCTTGACCCTTACCACAACTGTCCCTTGGTGTACTTATATTCTGTGTAATTTTCACCTTAATTGTCATCATAGGTATAAAGGTTCCTCAGAGTTCCACATAGATAATCATTGTTGTTAAATTGGCATTTGAATAATACACTTTATTTCTATTTTCCAAGATATTTTCATGTTCTGTTTTGTGTCATATAATAAGTTATTTCACTACACGTGATTCTAAAGGGGTCAATTCTTCTCTTTTACTGGAAATGAATAGCAGTGTTTTCACTTCTTGGGAAAGGAAAGTTATTTCTTGGAAAATACATCAAATGTGAATATCTATAACCAATAGTTGGTATTGCTGCAACAATTCCTGCACTGTCAATACACCAGGCCAAAGTTCCATCTGCTCTTGACTACAAATTATTTAAATATTAAAATATATATACAGAGGCAGAATTACCTAGATTTCATGAAAAAAGGAAATAGAAAAAAAGAATAATCTTTTAGACTAGAGCACTGGACCAGTTCCATCTGGTAGAAAGAGTGTACTTCCTATGGAGTTACACTGGAGTTCAAGCACTCAAGGAACAAAAATATACATTCTGGATGCCAGTAGTTCCTTGGGTGTAGGCAGGTTGGCCATGTAACAGCAGAAAGAGCAGATACCACAAGCCTAACTGGATCATTTGTATTTCATATTGGTTTATGTGCATAGGTGGGGTTCTAGGGAATAGCAAAATTAATGCATGTGGACATTTAATGTTTCATTCATAAGAAGTGTTTATATCTCTTTGTATTTATTTGCAAATTACAAATTATTTAAACACTGTCTAAGAATAGCTGAACTCCTACCGTGTGGGATAGTTTCACAATCAAAAGAAATATTATTCCACTATTAAAAATTAAAAAAAAAGGAAAGTGGTGTATTGAAAAGCAATTTAAGTATTTGATTTCAGTGTTTTTTGTATGGAAAAGCATTTTAAAGAACTTATTTTTTCACAGATCCTACCAATATCTATGACAGCATGGTAAATTATATCCCACCTCCCTACCCCGCAAACTGGAACAACTTTGTTTTCTCACTTACCTGCCCATCTGATTTCCCAAACATGTATCACTTTTCAGACACTAGTTGCAAACCTCTTTACAAGGCCTTTAACCTTAGAGTCTTTTTTTTCTTTCAGTCAGCACAGCCAAAGATCTAATTGTTTGGCTAATTCCTTAGAAAGGTTTGTGCATTTGCTTTAAGAATGCTAGTTGGTAATAAAGAATAACTGAGCTCATAAATTTCTGTTAATATTTCCAATTTACATGAAGCAGGCACTGAGTTAAACTAGATATCTACTAAATATCATGTCTTCTTCTTAAAAGCCTTCCTTTTTTTAGAATGCTACCTTTATTTTTCCCCCCTGTAATATCAAGGCACAATTAAAATATAGTTGTCCCCATGTTCTGAAACTCCTTTCTAACAAGATACACTTCCCAAATGTACTTCTAAACCTGCAGAGATTTAGAGGAAATTTTAAAATTATAGCAAAAACTTAATAACAGGTCTGCACTCCTGGTATGCACATTAAAACGTGAAATCTAAGTGAACTACTTTGAGCTGATTTCTCAGTTCAAGGAGAGAGTATGGTCATTAAATGCCTGATAAGGTCACATATACAATTTCAAGTACATTGGTAGTAAATCCATGTGACAGATCCTACAGCCACTAACCTCCTTCTGCCCTCTGGGTACCCAGCACAGTGTTCGCTGTGAGTCTTCATGGTCGTAGGCGCAGTGGAAGCCCTCTGAGACGTGTCCGACTTAGGAAATATTAACAGTGCCTCTCAGGAGAGAGATTCCAGTCTAACCCATATGAAATGAGTAGCTTTATCTTTCAAATGTGATAAAAAACCAGAAGTTACTTTGAAATAAAGTAAGGGATTAGTGATGGGGATTGAGGAATAGAAAATATAATTTGAAATTTGTTATTAAAGATGGAATCCTTAACTTATTGACCTAATAAAGTCCATATCACAGAACTTCATAAATTTAGGCTGATATTGAAATGCAGATTCTTATTACATTTAAATTTTAAAAATGATGATGCTACTATAGCCTAATTGCGAATTTATTCTAATAATAGATTTCCAATGCAATTTGCTCTTTCGTTTGTTGGCATGACAACTATGGGTGACTTATACCCACAAAGGAAACAATATCACCCCTGGAATGCACTCCTTTCTGGGCCACTTCTAGGTCAGATGCAATGCAGGCTTTAGATAATTTACTTTGAGCTAAAAATTACTATCTAGTATTTGGTCATGTGTGGTAGTTATTTGTAGCACTGTAGGTATCTAGAATTGTGTCAAAAATAAATTTTGTATTTAAAGTACTCTATGGGTTCAGGTAAATCCACAGGCTAGAAAATAGTAAAGAATACTATATATTCTCAGGATTAACTTCCTAATGGAATAAAAAGAAAAACAGGGGAAAAAAAGAATATCTAAAAATAATTATTCCCTCTAACACAGAAGAATAAACTTTTGGGTTATAAGTTAGATGTTATGTCAACCTGAAAAGTAAATATTGCAGACATATTGTAGCACCTGACAGTTTGTTTTGCCTACTCACCCACAGGAGACATTTCCGGGACACTAGCAACATACGGTCCATCCAAAAACCTTGGCTCATTGTCATTAATGTCCTGCACTTTGATGATGAATTCTGATTCAGGCTCCAGGGGCTTCCTCGTTTCTATGTCCACAGCCTGAGCACGAAGAGTGTAGAAAGGTTTTTCTTCTCTATCCAGGCTCCTTATGGCATGGATGTCCCCTGTGGTTTCATCGATGGTAAACACAGTGCCAGCACCATCTCCCGAGAGGGTGTACTTCACAGTACCCTCTCCCTTGTCTAAGTCAGAATGGAGCTTTGGTGGGGCAGAGAAGGAGAAAAAGAGAAAGAGGGAACCATTAAAGGGATGTTATCACACTGAAAATTCATAGTTTGCAACATGATTGATTTAATCAAAAATGTTCAATGAAACCTTCAGTTCTTTTTTCTTGTTTTTTGTTATTTTCTCCAACTCTCTGATTATATAATCTTAACACCTAGAAAGTTGAAAAATACACAGGGAATCCTTGCATATACCAGTATGTCTCAGACATCCCACCAGTTACCTATTAATCCACTCACTTTATCACATAGATCACATACCCATTCTCTCCTCCATCTCTCTCTTCCCATCCTATTTTGATGCATTATGGCGATCAGAACAAAAGTCCTACCCCAAATACATCAACAGGATTGGAAATTTGAACCTTTATGTCTAGTTCTTTTGTATCCCTTTGGGAATAAAATTTTCATGAAGCAAAATGCACAAATCTCAAGTGCACTTTTTGCTTCATTTTAAATGATCATCACAAGAAAAATAAATTAACTCATAAATATATATTTTTAAAAGGCCAGCTAAATGTCTTGAAAACAGAATAAGTGACTGGATTCCAGTGGAAAAAAAGGTAAAGTAACTCAGAAAACAGAGTCTTTGTCATTTGAAAAGAGAGATGTGGGATGCTAACAAGTTTTCATTGACGCCCTCTAGAACATCTCACTGTAACAGACTGTGAATGAGTTGGCCAATATTAGCCAGATAATTACTAGAAATTCTGCTTATACTTTCATATTCACAAGTGGTTAGTTATCATTAATTCCATATACCCAATATTTTTTATTAAACAGAAAAATTAAATTAAGCTAATTTTTGAAATTCAGCATACATAGTTCATCGTTTTATAGTATGAAATTAGATGCACATCAATAACAATAAAGGACAGAGCCAAAGAGAAAGAAAGTATCATTGTGATATTCTATCAAATTAGAGCTACTTAAATTGGGGTTCAAGAATACGTGGAAGATGAACATAGTCTTATAGATCTACAAATTATTTTTGAATAAATAAATATGTGCATAAGATGTTATAGATGATTTTCAGAGAGTATTCATTCTTATAAATATATATTGTTCTAAGTAAAAAAAGTGTATTTATAAATATAAACATAGTAATATGTATTCTTTTAACTAATGTGATATACATTACTTTTTATTCAGATTCTATTCACAATGTCTTAAACTATTCCCACTCAAGTAAGGCATCTGATTTCAGCATCTCTATTTTATTTATTTATTTTTGCCTTTTTTGGCCGAGGCTGGGTTTGAACCTGCCACCTCCGGCATATGGGACCAGAGCCCTACCCTTTTGAGCCACAGGCACCACCCACAGCATCTCTATTTTTATATTTAAAATCTCATTCCAGTTAATGGATAACCCCAGAGAAAACGTTAAACTTCACAGTGCCTGTAACTATTTGGGCTATGACTTAAAATTTGACTGTAAGTGCTACTCTCTTGTATGAATGAACGATTCAGGTATGAATGAATTCTGTTTCTCTTAATTATATTAACAGAAAATGAGCTTTGAAAATATTTTAAATTACATAAATATCCTTTTGCAAATAAGATTTTTGTGCATTTGTATTAGTAATATTAAAGCACAAATACAGCAAGATTAAACAGCACCTCACTCTTTAGCAGGACGCTCCTGTAAACTAATATCATTGTTAAATTAATGTATTTAAAATAAATGCATTC